ATCCGATTCGAGTGGGATGCGGCGTACCGCAGGGTTCGGTACTTGGGCCTCGTTTGTTCCTGCTTTTCATTAACGATCTAGTAAGAGTTATTACGTCGAAATTCTTACTCTTCGCGGACGACCTCAAGGTTTGGCGGGCGATAAAACGATCGGACGACCATGAAGTCCTACAGCGTGACTTGAATGAGGCCTGGAATTGGTCGGTGAGAAACGCCCTGCCGTTTAATGTGGACAAATGTCGCGTTGTTCATATCCGCCATCGACAAGTCCACGTCTACAAGTTTGGGGCACACGATCTGAAGACCACCACTCAGGAACGCGACTTGGGTGTGCTGGTACAGGAAGACCTCGGGTGTTCCTAACAGTCAGATTCCGCTTCTAAAAGGGGCAACCAGCACGTTGGACTCCTGCGAAGAGCATTCGGAATTTTGGATCCATCCATCTTCTATTTGATGCTGAATGCCTACGTGCGTCCTCACGTCGAATATGCAATCAAGGCCTGGCAACCCTGGCTAAAACGTGACCTTGCAGCGCTTGAGACCCCACAGCGTCGAGCAACGAAAATCGTCAAGGGCTTGCGCCACACTCCTTACCAGGAACGACTGGAGATACTCGGAGTGTTCAGCGGACGGTACCGGCGACTTCGTGGAGACCTCATACTAGTGTACCAGATATTGAGCGATCCCAGTCACGTATGCCGCCACCTCTTGAAGCTCAGCCCGAACACTAACCTTCGCGGTAACAGTTTAAAGCTGAGCCAACAGTACAGTCGTCTAGACTGTCGGAGAACCTATTTCCCCCTCCGGGTCTGCGGGCCCTGGAACGCCCTTCCAAACTCAGTAGTTTGTGCCCCCACATTAGATACGTTTAAAAAACGATTGGACGTCGCACTGAGCGCCCTGCGCTTTGTTTTATGAACGAAAACGCTTGTATATATTTAGGCTGACCAGCCTCTTTGGATTTATACCCCAAATTCACGGTCGTAAATCTGTGCGAACCGGTGAGTACTCCATTTTTATTTGCTACCATCACCAACGATAACAATTTCTTAGCCAGTTTTGCGTCGTACCACTTTATCCCCCTAAAACTGTTATACTTCTACCTTTTATCTCACTGACACTCCTTACTTAAACCACTTATGTGGTTTGCCAATTTGTTAGTATTTCTATTGCCAACCTGCGGGACTCGTTAAGTGTATGCTTTTTTACCCGTCATATACCATTGTTCCATTGTTCCATTGTTCCATTGTTCCAATCCCCTGTAAAACCATGGAAAGAAATTTGAAACTGGCTTTGCATCTTCACTTTGAGAAATTAAACGTCATCTCTTCTGCTCAGCACGGATTTTGGAGGGCACCCTCCTGCATTAACCATCTGCTTGTTGCCCGAGAAAAGTGGGCGAAGTCAGTGCGTGCTGGTCATCACCTCGATCTAGGTTTTTGGAATTTTAGCAAATGGTTTAATAGGGTTCCACACAAGCGAGTCCTTAGCAAACTTCGGCAAGTTGACATTGCTGATAATTTTCTCGCCTGGATCGCTGATTTCCTAGATGACGGTAGTATGTGAGTGAAGGTTAACCAAGTCGACTCTGGTCCTGTTCTTATGAACTGCGGGGTTTCACAAGGCTCCGTTCTTGGTCCCGAACTACTCAAAATCTTTCTCAGCGATCTCCTGGAGGTGGTCCAAGTCGACTGCTTGATCTATGAGGATTATCTTAAACTGTGGCCAGAAGTATCCAGGCTTGAAAATGCTGACAGGTTGCAACCGACGCTTGATCTGCTGCACGATTGTTCTGTCACGTGGCAAATGTCTAGCAATCGTGATAACTGCTGTGTTCTCCTGATCGGTGCTCAAAAACCTTTCCGTGCATACCACATTGGTGGTTTTCTGCTGAAGAATGTGGTTGGTGAGAAGGATTTGGGCGTACTTGTTTCTCCAGAGCTAAGAACAACCCAGGACACGTTGCGGAAGGTAGCCTCTACCAACAGAATGTTTTGTGCCATACGAAGGTCTTGCTAAAAATTGACACCGCAGAACTTCAGACTCCTGTTTTTCCCCCACGTTCGTCCAATACTGGAATACGGGCTACCTGCTGTACACCCACGCACGAAATTTGAATGTGAGTTGATTGAGAAGTTCCAGAGGCGCGGATCCAAGTCTGTGTCTACTCAACACGTTTTACCTTATCCACTTCATCGCCAACGTATGAACTCATTTGCTTTGGACTACCGCCGTCGCCGTGGTGGTCTGATTTATACTAGATGCATTTTAAGGGGCGATTTGGGGAAGGACGTGCAGCAGTTCTTCCAGCTCAACACAGATTGTTTGACACGGGGCCACAGCTTGAAACATTTTAAACCTAGGAGGAACCATGTCTGGTCTGACGTTGCCTTATCCACACGAGTTGTGAATGAGTGGAACAATCTCCCTGAATGTGGTAATTGTCCAGACAAAGGAATGTTTTAAAGAACGGCTGGACAAATACCTGCTGAGCATGCCTGGATTATCCTGATTTTGCTGCGGCTGTAACAATGGAACACAATTTAGCTACGACACGTGTCGTCAGGCAATGAACTGGAGGTGATGGAGCTGACAGAAGTTTTCTCTGCTGCTCTCTACAACTCTAAAACCTGTAAGTGCAGCACGCTAGATTTGTCCATATTAAAGCGTAGATTTTGGTTAAATACGCATATACACTATCCAGATCAGCTTGAAGTACTGTGATACCATCTGTTGTTTTGATCGCCCTATATACTTTGATGTCATCGGCATGTGATATCATTAATATGCGTACAAAATACTCGCCACCCAAGTACCGATCCCTGTGGTACTCCGGATTCAACCCGAATGAGATCTGATATGTATTCACGCACCCGTATTTCCAAGCGCTGGGGTAAGAGAAAGCTGTTGACGCAACCTAGGAGAGGAACACTAATACCAAACGTCTGGAGTTTGAACAGCAGAATGTTACGGTTTAACCGGTCAAACGCCTTTGAGCAGTCAAAAAAGACTAAGTCAACACCTGTGCCAGAGTCTACTGTTTCAGTCCAGCTTGAGCATGCTAGTAATAGATTTGTACTGCATGATCGATTTCGTCGGAAGCTATGGCGTCCCGGTGCTAGGTAGTTGAATTCTTCTAGGTAGGTCGTTGTTACAACAAAAATAATACCTTCCATGACCTTTAAAGCAATCGTTAGTAAGAGTATGGGACGGTAGTAGGTTGGATCGGAACGACTACCTCCCTTGTGAATTGGAGTAATCATCCCGTATTTCGACCTGTCGAGCATGTCCAGATTGTCAAAACTGTGTTGGAAGTATGGGGCTAAGCTCTCTTTTACAGCCGGCGAATTGGGGTGTATAACATCAACTCCAGGAGAGCTGTGCTTGCACATACTCAACAGCTTTATAATACAGCTTCTGCCTTGGGGGTATCTGAGTGAGTTTTTGGGGGTAAAACGACCATTGTCATAGGGTTATGTGGCCAGTGATCGCACTGAAATGCTGCAGCATATTGTAGGCGCAGGGTATTCGCCGCCTCCTTCGGTGTCCCTATGGGTCCGTTCGCTGTTTGAAGGGAAGCAATTCCCCGTTTCACCTTACGTAGACTGTTGGCGTGGTGATACAGAAGCTTGTAATTTGAGGCCATACACACTGCCAACTTCTGCTGGTACGCCATTCTATCCTCTTGAATGAGATGAGTACAGTGGTTACGTTGGATTACATAGGCCATCCAAGTCTTGGTGCTCGGAGAGAGTTCCTAGATATGTCAGGCTGAGTTTCGCATCGCTGAATACTTGCGTGTATTGCTTCGAAGAAATGATACCATGTTTTTCGGGTTGACAGTCTTAGTCGCTGACGCTTCGGCAACCAGAGTTAACCTGGCTGACAAAATGTTCCCATGCGCTAGCTGGTGCCTGGTCTGCCGGAACGGTGCAGTTGGCTGTCTCACCTAGTCCAGAGCATATGTCGTAGCGTATAATGGTTTTTGTTGCGTCGGCGAGTTGCACGGCATATTCTGCAAAGCAAATGTGTTCGCAGAGTAGGACTAGATGATGGCTGCCGCTCAAAGAGACGTTGACCATCATTGTCTCGGTCATTAATTCTTCTTTGATGAATATCCGATCCCGTTTCTAATTCTTTCAGACCAGCTATTATTGTGAAGTTCGAACGTGATCATCACTTCAGTCTGCTGAGGTGGCACTGTAAGCGATTGAGCGACTGAGCTTGGTGTTGAATCCAAACGTGGAGCTCTGGGTGTATCGCTACGTGTTCGGTCAGTCAAACAAATTCAGTATATTATTAATGAATAGCGGAGCTTTTGGTATATTTCAGCTAATTCTTCGTGGTCCGTTCTCAGTCAGTGTATATTTCAGCATTATGCATGCAAACTATGAGTATACACTTAAGTCATAATCTTATTTAGCATTTTACATAACGTACTCAGACAAACCAAGAGAATTTCCAGACTGCTACAGGGACTAGTGTTTTGCTAACAATCCTTCCTTTCCATTGTACAGGAAAAACAAGCTAACCTGACTTATAGATGATCCCAACAGACAACATTACATTTTGGGCAACGCTGCTTCTGTCGGAATAATCTGGCTGATTTGGTATTGGCATCGGGATTGTTTCTAACCTACCAGCGTGACATTTGTTTTCTCCTTCAGTATGAATATAATGGGCGGTCTATTCCACTGTCAATATCTGGTTTCAATTTGTGATGACCCGGATGACTGACGCGACTTCCTCAAAGTTATCGATCAGATTGCTGGGATCGGGCCCTTAGTTAGAATTGGACAATTTTCGATTTCATTTGGCAATATGCAACAGAGTGGGAAAAACCAAGTATGAAGTCGTATTCAGGTTTGTTGCCGTGTGTCTACCCTACACGTGCGGCCTGGTTTAGACACAGTGCCAGTAGGAACCGTTGATGACTTGACTTCCATAAGTTTGTGGATAGGGCCGTGTTAAGTCTGGTTAAGTGGCTGGTTGGTTACTTACCTGAACCTACGCATATATGAAGCCTAGATCCCAGAAACGCAATGTGGCTAAGTCGATGGCAGAATTCACTGATAGCAGACATTCAATAACGCTCTACTTGGGGAACCAAAAGTCCAGTTCATTTTAGACTGTAGGTTAATCTGCAAGACAATACAGGAAAGATGAAAAACATGTACTTCGATGCGCAGTAAAGGTGTAGGATACGTGCTTCGAAATCCATTGATCAATAGATTTGTCATGGGTAAAATATAGCTTGACAATTCTCGCAGGTAAAGAGTGAAAACAGGATGTGAATGTATCAATAAAAACAAATATGACGCATATCGGTGGACTCACCGAAGTTTCACTTGTGCACATAGTTTGGTTTTGTCATGATGTGTCTCAGTAACATTGGCTAAGTCTTGTAGTGCATGTGGTGTAATGTTTCATCAAGTTGAGTTTTGAATTCAGTCAATGTAGAAGTGGAGATGACAGAAATCGTCAGAGCGTTCCCCCACTGGGACACACGAAGTGAAGAAAAGTGCCAGCGTGGCTCCAGCCGGCTGGTGTGTATGCCCAACTTCAAGTGCTGGTCTCAGAGTGAAGTGTTGTGAAGTAATTTCAATAAATGTCGTCATGCATGGTTTGGTTTCTTTACGATCTGAAACACCAAAATAAGAGCATCACACAGGCGACGATATTGACCACTGAAAGCTCCTATGATCTGTAGTCTATGTTGGTATAGAAGATGAGTCAGGCCCTTGACACTTTTGTTGCTTTTCTTTGTGGAAGTTCAAGAACAGCATGATCTTTGCTTTTGTCGGGGGTGCCAGATTTGGATAGTGTATTCAAAATGTGACCTCACGTAAGCGCTGAGAACTTGTGTAAAGATGGTTTACGCAAACCGGCCAAACGATCTCCGCAAGAGATCCAAGTGCTGATTAGCTTTCTTTGCCGATTTTTCGGCTTGTTTTGATCAACCAAGCAACCAAGCGTTATTGTGAGCAGACGGAAGCCGTGCGCAAACTGACTATGACAAGGCTTGTATACTTGGTGATCAGTATACTGGGTTCATTGCTAGGGAGACCACTTTACAACAAATTGAATTGGTTTCAAGATTTCCAGAGGATTTTTGCTTAGTTGAGTTAACATAACGGATTATCAGGTCTTCGAGATACTTCATGGCATGGATTCTGGTAAAGCTTCCGGTCCTGATTCACTTCATCTGAAGCTGTTGCATGAAATGGCCACTGAGCTGAATGGTCCTCTCTCGCTGGACAGCTGCATCCTACCTTCGGAATAGAAGGAGGCAATCATCTGTCCGATTTTTAAGGGAGGTGACAACGCTCTGCCCGCGAACTACCGGCCTGTCAGTTTGACAAGCGTAGTAGTCAAGTTGTTTGAAAAGCTGATAGGGGATTCAGTGGAAAACCACCTGAATAGATTCACCCTTCACAGTGTTGCGCAACATGGATTCCGCAAGGGATTTTCATGTCAGACTAATCTACTTGTAGCTCGTGCAAGCTGGGCCGAAGCGGTAGACGGTGGCCACTCTGTAGATGTGCTATTCGTGGACTTTCGAAAGCTTTTGACACTGTTCCACATCTTCCGCTCTCACTAAAGTTGAGATCTTACGGGATATCTGGTCGCGCCCTTCAATGGGTGTCTGCTCCCCTTACGGGAGGGAACAGTGCGTACGGGTGGGGCGTAGCCTTTCGCTCAGGCAAGCTGTACTTAGTGGCGTCCTGCAGGGCTCAGTATTGAGGCCATTGTTGTTCGCGATCTATGTAAATGACTTACCGGGGTAGCTAGGAGTGTCATCTCTTACGCTTGCTGACGATCTTAAAATCTGTAAGATTGCCATTACCACGGGGCCTCCTGAGGCAATTCAGTGTGCTCTGGATAGGCTCTGGGAATGGTCTACCTTATGGTTGATGTCCATAAACAGCGCCAAGTGGTCGGTTCACCGAATCGGAGCTGCTCATCCTCCCACGCGATATGTTGTCGGCGGTGGTGAACTCCCTGTTGTCACTCAGCAAGTTGATTTAGGCGTCGTACACGCATCAGCACTTCATTCTGGAGACAAGCGGAAGAATGCTGCTTTTCGGGGGTTTCGTATGATGTGGTTTATCCACCGCTCTTTCGGAAGCTTAACGGCCAACTTGTTTGTGAAGCTATTCTCGGCATTCGTCCGACCCCATCTGAAATATTGTATTCAGCCTTGTCCACTATGTCTTAACCGAGACAAAAAATGGACTTAGAGAGGGTGTTACGAGTGGGCACTCGGTTAGTGTAGGGTCTACTGGAGCAAACGTATCCTGAACGCATGCTTAGTTTGGGGATGTAATCCATGCACTACCGAAGGTTAAGATGGGACCTGATTCTTACTTATCGTATTTTGACGGGTAAGATCGGCCCCTTAACTAATCTCCGCGGTCATTCACTGAAACTGCATAAACCACAGCCTGATAGGATTAGGACGGAAACTCGTCTGTCGCGCCTTTATAGATCACTGGAATTCGCCTCCAGATCAAGTGGTTGGGAAACCTACGGTTAAGGGTTTTGCGCGCCCGCTCGATGCTCTTGGGTGGAAACACCAAACCTTTCCTTTTTCCTAACTGATTAACCTTCACTTTACAGATCTATTTTTAATGATTCAAATATCTTGGTATTCTACTTGATTTGCTCTTTCCACCTTCTCTACTTGCCTTCTGAGTTTATTATTTTCTCTTTCTTATTTCACGTAACCGTCCCAGCAGGGACTGCTAGCGCAGGATACACGGGCATTAATTGGTTGGACAGGGTGTGATGCCGTCTTTGTTTTAGGTCCATCAGTATTTCAAAGTCTGACAACTCCTGGTTCAATGACCCGCTGTAGAAGGAGCACTCACGGGATAATCGGATAGTTCTAGTCCCGCCTGTACTTGAACTTGACAGTTTCTCTCGGTTATTCATTATGCTACAACGGCAACGCACTCTTAGTCCTTCCACATTCCCTGTTTACGGCGTTTGTTTCACAGTTCCCCTCCGGTTCTTCACCCAAGGGAATAAGCCGATTTTTGAAGCATCTTTTAAGTGCGGAAAAATGACGGAGGGTGATAGATGCATGCATTTCACATTGGAGACAATACTAAACGCGTGCATCTACCAGCCTTCGTCCTCTTTCCGTGCTTTTCAAATTGTTAAAGAGAACTTACTGCTTTAAATCTGTTAAGTGGTTGATTATTCCAATAGCCGGTTTCTCAGGAGTACGAACTAGTTTCTGTACACGTCCACAGTCCGACTTTTTGGTTATTAATCTACGTGCTTTTACAGTATGATTCACAACCGGTTTTTCAATTGGTGATTGAATAGACTGAAGGACTTTGCTCTTTCTCCCACCAGTATGTTTATCCTTACATACCTTGGTAGGACCGTTCTGTGCGCCACTCATCGTACTAGTACTCTGGGGTGCAGAAGTGTAATCCACTCCAGTAGATAGCGAATTCACCTCTTTTAAATCTGTAGCTTCAGGTGGCTCGGGCTGCCTACATTCTGCCGAAGATGATACTACCTCCATGTCTACATTTCATTTTTCCACCGTCAACGGCGGAAATAAATCTTGTGATAGCACCGCACGTTCAACAGTCACATGCGGGTCGTGATCCTTCTTGGCAGTCGTAGATTTAGTAACTAAGTTAGCATCAGTACCACTAGTTAGGCTTGTTCGTGGGCGTTTAAGCTTCAAATTAAGCGTGTCTGGTGCAACTTGATACCTGCCATTGGTATGACTCATCACTAATCCAGCCCTGTTTAGTAGGATGTCACGGTGTACAGGATTTTTGAACTCTACCAGGATAGGCCTAGCAAATCCTTGTTGCCGCAATGCTCCTGCTTCCCTCCAATCGCCAACACGATGTATCCTTTTTATGCCTACATGCAACGGAAGATTGGCCATTCGGAAGATATCATATACCAGGATTTTATCTAAATCACGTCGAGTCTTAGCTTCCCGTATCACCGGCTCCTCCCTGTTGTGAATAAGAACGTTTCTTTGTCTGCCCATAGCGAGTTCCGCATTGCGTACGCAACCCTCCAAAGACGACCTCAATTTATCAACTTCCGCACGCAAAGAACCAATGAGTAAACACTGATCACGAATCAGATTTTTAGCGATGGTGAGTCTATGCTAATATTGTTTGTCATCATTGTCCTGCTCCTTAGAGGCCATCGAAGTGGGATCGAGAGATCTACCACCTACAAAGTTAGCATAAGTGTCCGCTAAAGATACATAGTGGGAGCATATCCACTTCACTTGGGGATGTCGAGCGTACAGATTAATGGACTCCTGCTCTGACCTAGAACAGTTGTTGTGGTACCACAATGAAAATCTGTTGCATTGAATTCCGTCTTTGACTGCAATGCCGCAACTGCTCTTGCCACATTTATAGATAACCTCCATGTTTATGGTTTATAGTTATCAAAACGATCAGTAGAACAACAGACGTTTGCAATAGACAAATTAATGTGTAAGAATCAAACCTAAGGAGTAACAACAAAAATGTAAAACAGTACGATGCAGGTGTGACAGAGAAATATGAATAACTAGTCACAACGAATTAATGCCGGATACAATACAATAGTAAATACAACGGTAAACGCAGTGAATAAACACGATTAAAAGAAATAACTAAAAGGAGCAAATACTCCTAACGAAGAAAGTAGGACCGGAGCACATGACGAGGAATCCATATGCCCAAGGTTCCGCGATCCAATAACCGTCGGAACAGAGTAACTTGTAAGTTCTGTCCCTATAGAATATCCTTCTAAGGTAATATGGAGAACGAAAACAGCAAGAAAGAGTTTATTCAAAATTCTAAACCGGTTACTGGCCCATTCGTATCATTCACGATAAATTTCCAGCGATAATATTGTGGCTGTAGGACTTGTTGAAAGACAGCTGAAAGACGTACTTCAGTTTGCAGTCTGTAGTGTACCGAAAAACAAGTTCATTCAGTATATCGAAACGTTGGATTTTACTGTTGTTTTAACCTTTTAAACGTCCACTTATTTTACTGACGGAACTTCCGTTGAAACAAACGGTTTTGGTGAGTACCATGCTGC